CTTTCCAAACACCTTCTTCAAGCTGTCTTCTCCCATGGAGACAGCATTCCAGCTTACAGAAGATTTGCTCAAATTATTCTCTCTCTTGAGGTATCAAGAAAGAATAAATGTAACGACATATGCTTACAGTTTACCAAAAAACTCGCTATTATTTGGAAAAAAACGGCATCTATTAGGGTGATCGGTAAAAAATGGGGCAGCTTGATTTTTATCCAATTTTGAGATTTTTTGTTTCTATCAACAACAAGCAGGCTACAACGTAAACGTCGTTTATATAAGCGACCTTCGCCTATTATTCTGGCAAAGTGTCAACGCTCCTCTCCCACAACCCTACGCGTGGCACCCTGAAGAACTTGAACAGGGTTTTTTGAACATCGCTCATTCTTGCGCTGCCATACCATGAAGTTATAGAGCAATTGATATACCATTCGAAAGATATACGAATTTCGCAACTCGTATTATCTTTCTTTGCCCTAAATTGCGGGGATTATCTGCATTTGTATGTGGTTGAGTAATACTTTGCCAGTTGTACGGCAAAGATGAATTCAGTAGCTCGTATCGTTTTTGCTATTGAAAGAATTCGCAGATGTTAGCATTAGATGTGAACTGCTCATGTTTTTTAGCTAGTGCACAGTTAGAGTTATTCACATGTACGGCTCGCGCTTATTTGCTTCAACATTAATTCACTCATGTATATGTGCCTTCTTCCAATCATATCATTCCTATGTGGTTCATCATTTCCTAATTTTTATAGTTTAGATCTCATTTATCCATATCACTTTGCTACCTGGTTAATCGTGTTTATTGTTGCTATTCTGTTGCCAAGATAAAGTTTAATTACCCAAGTTTGAGGTGTGCTCGTGCGTATACGAAGTCCCGCGTGGCAGTACTTTTGGTTGTGGTTTGGTATTCGAAGCCTTATAGTCCTGACTATATCCCCACCACCAACTAATACAAGTTGTACATCGACCAAATCAAGAGGTACCTTTTTTGCAGAAGATAAAGTGTGTCTCGCTTGCTTTGCACGATACGCTTTGTTTGATATTGCACAAGAGTGGATCATCTACACCTACGGAAATTGCACGGAGCTTTTGTTTCCTTGCACTTGCATCATGACAACTACAGTAAGAGCGTACAAGGGACTTATGACCAAAAGAAGCCAAGTCGCTCTGGCATGCTGGAAGAATCCGCGCAGCGTCTTCAACATCTGAAAGAAAAAAGCACGCAGCAGGAACAAGTCAAGGAGTTTACAATAGCTGTGGGAGTGCGACGAGTATCTGGAACTTCTAGAATTATCTTTAACCAAACTCACGGAAGCTTTCGATAAACTCCAGGACACCACAGATGAAGAAGAAGATCAATTAGACAAGCACGCAGAGATTGCGCAAGAAACCATCATGAAGTTATACGCACACAAATCCAATGTCAAGCAGATGCTACAAGAAATAACGACGGAAACTACGCTCAGAACAATCACCAATCACCAAGCTCACCAATGTTCTGCAGCAGCTAGCAAACTCCCAACTATACCTATTCCAACCTTCACAGGAAAAAAATGGGAATGGGACAACTTCTGGGCCATCTTCAAAGCCAACGTACACGACCAGGACCTAACGGAGTTGCAAAAATTCAACTATTTGCTGTCAGCCCTGAGTGAGGAGGCGAAGCAATCGATCTCGCGATTCTTCGTATCAGCAAATAACTACGAAAAAGCCATACAGCATTTGGCGAAACGCTATGGCAACAAGGATGGCATTATCCTGGAACTGAACAAAAGCCTACATAACTACTTGGCAAGAGGACCCACCACCGCAGATCAGCGTCAATTATGGGACAAACTTTCAACTATCGCAGCTCAACTAGAAGAACACGAGCAACACCTCAGCAATCAAATAACAATCCAAATCTTTCTCCAAAAGTTCCATGTACGCATTAGGAAAGCAGCTATGGAGAAACGACTCAAGCACAAAGAAGAAAGCAATAGCGAGTGGACACTGGGCCAATGGCTCGACGCCATCGACGACATCATATCGCAAGAGGAACAAATAAACCACATGCTTTCGGTCGAAACACAAACAAGAATTTTTAAATCACAGCGCGATGGCGATGAAAACACTCTCAGGATTAACCGGCAGATGGAAATCAAGCAACCTATGTGAATGCTGTGGAGGTAACGGACACAGGTGGACAAATTGTTCGCGGATTCCCACAGCAGCACAGAAAAAAAGTTTTTTGCTTGACACTGGCAGATGTCTCAACTGCGGATCGATTGATCACAGAGTATCGTCATGTGCGAGCAGCAACTGCCAAAAATGCAACAAGAAACATCACACCGCGATATGCTCGGGGAAGATGCCTGACGAACTAACGCGCAGAAGACTACGGCACAGTGAGCAAGAGAAGCTAGATTCTGGGGAAACACCCAGGAACCAATTCAAAACGGCGGCAAGACCTTGCAGTTCTTCAAAACAATACGCGTTAACGGAGGCAAGTGGACGAGAAGTTCAAGACACGACACAAAAGGCAACGGAAGATCTCGAACAAGACAATCCGTCAGTACTACTGCTCAGGGGAAAGCTACATATTGATAACTTGTCTAACTCGTCTTTGGACAACGAAGCTACGGAGAAGACAGTGGTACCTACAGGGACACCCGTCGTGAACGAGCTGGAACCGCAAGCCGACTCAAACGCGCCATTGTCATCGCCTACCTCCCACAATGTGCAACCTCCATCTAAGAGACCACCAGTTGTGATCGCTGGTGCAACAGTATCAAAGGACAAGTTTTCGCCGTCAAGCTCAGACGGTAATTTGTACATGCACCCGTCAGTCCACGCAACTTCCGCGGAAGCACATATGAAGCCTGCTGTCGTGAAATCTCTTTTCAGCCATACCGACATCAATGATGATACTCCGTCTACAAAATTTACTGCAGAATCCGATGCTTTCACAGCAAGCCCATACTTGAGCCTGAACGTATTTGCTTTAATTGAAGTCCAAATGATACACAAAGCATGGGAAGAGTTTCTGGACTTCAAAGAAGATGTCAAACGACAGCAGCAGGAGATTCTACACTCGATACAAAGGATGAACCAGCACCTCGAAATCCTCAAAGCATGGAACATGAAGGATGGAACCGACGTCATTCGCCAGAAAATCCCGTCAAAACTGGCCAAGAAGAAAAAAGCATATGTGCGAAGGCGAAACAAGAGCAGTAGTGAAGAAAAGAAAAAGAACATCCCAGCGGCTCCTACACTATCACAGAAAAGAGAAGAAAGCATAAGAAGCTGTACAAAACCCAAGAGAAGGCATACAAAAGAAATTTCCCATGATGAAGAAAGAAAACAAAAGATTGTCGCACAACGACAGCGACAGATGAGGACAACTGAGCAGAATCCCAACCATCTCTCTTGCACAGGAAGACCCGACGTAAACGTGAATTGCAAAGGATCTCGCAAACAGCGTTCAGATGCTTGCTCGAAGTTGCGCACTGGTACAAGAAGAGACGTTCAGCACAGAAAGACACCCCGTAACCGATGTGTCGAAGTCCGTCATAGTGAGGACCGCACAGGTCGACGCTCGTGTTTCTACTGCAGAAACACCAGAGGCAACGCTGTCGTGTTGAACCACCATACTACCATCTGCAGGCTGTTTGAGGACATTGCCCATAAGCAACGGAATCTTATGCGTCAAGCGAAGACGTTCAAGAACAACATGAAATTGAAATCCGAAAGCACACAGATGTGGAGGGAGAAGAAAGGCACAAAATGGAATGCGAAGAAAAGAAGACCGAAGACGAACGGTACAACCCAGACTCAGTTAACTTGATCACTCTTGGCGAGGCCGGAGTATACGAATTTCGCAACTCGTATTATCTTTCTTTGCCCTAAATTGCGGGCATTATCTGCATTTGTATGTGGTTGAGTAATACTTTGCCAGTTGTACGGCAAAGATGAATTCAGTAGCTCGTATCGTTTTTGCTATTGAAAGAATTCGCAGATGTTAGCATTAGATGTGAACTGCTCATGTTTTTTAGCTAGTGCACAGTTAGAGTTATTCACATGTACGACCCGCGCTTATTTGCTTCAACATTAATTCACTCATGTATGTGTGCCTTCTTCCAATCATATCATTCCTATGTGGTTCATCATTTCGTAATTTTTATAGTTTAGATCTCATTTATCCATATCACTTTGCTACCTGGTTAATCGTGTTTATTGTTGCTATTCTGTTGCCAAGATAAAGTTTAATTACCCAAGTTTGAGGTGTGCTCGTGCGTATACGAAGTCCCGCGTGGCAGTACTTTTGGTTGTGGTTTGGTACTCGAAGCCTTATAGTCCTGACTATAAGGCTTCGAGTACCAATACAACCAACTCCCCACCACCAACCAATACAAAAGAGCTCTTTATGCTCTTTCAAACAATTTATTAAACATACGAAATTTCTTTCTATTTCTGGGTAAAAAAAGCGAAATACCCGAAAGATCGCGATTTTTTGGCGCAACAAAAACCAATAAATCAAGTCTAAATCTGTATTTCCCGAAGATAAATAAAACGTGAAGTAAGCTGCATGTGGATGGATAAGAAAAGAAAGCTGTAAAAAGCTCTTTCAGATGGTACCTATAAAACATGCGTTCACTTGCAAAGAATTGAAAAGCACGTATCTTTGTTCTCAAAGCTGCTAATGGCCATATCTCCTGAATTTAAAAGTTGAGGCCAGCAACCCATCGTGGGTCTGGCGACTGTACCTTCACGCAATGCAGCTTTAGTACTTTGGATGGTTTCGCATGTTTCACTGCGCAGATACTGCCCGAAGTTTATAATTTGTCAAGGTGACTAACTTTGCATTTCAGCCACTATAAAAATTATTAGGTAGGTAAATAACCTTATATAGGTATTTTCTGGAATAATTTATTCCACGTTGTATTGGTGAGCCCACTTTTACAAACTTGTGATGAACGCACCGCAAAGACTGCCAAATTTTTTTGAATTGGGAATCCTTCAAGTCTTTTTCGCCCGCCAAGTCGCTGTCGAAAGGCTCTTCATGACAACTTCTAAAGGCCTAAAAAAAGTGATTCATTCTAATTAATTTGTCTCTCTCTTAAATTCCAAAAAGCTGTAGATGGGAACACATGTGTGGTTGTTTTCAAGCTCCTCCTAAGCTCCTTGTGCTTTCCTCTGCTGAATCTAACACAGCAGCATATTACTTGGTGCTTGACCTTTATATCACAACATACCCCTTCCTACATGCCAACACCAAAACCCACCGCAAAGATGAAGTCTTAAGGCTATTGCATGACGAAGGCGCAGAAGCTGTATCAGTTAAGCGGGCGCGAACGCGACGCGCGCTTAACCTCACCATTGCAAATCCCGCGCCTCATGCGCTCTGCGGCTAATGAAGCCGCGTTCGCGCTCGAATATATTGCGCCTTCGTCATGCAGTCGCCTATACATGTTCAAATAGTGGAAGTTAACACGTTTCGGACCGCGAAATCGCGCGCGGCGAAAAAGAGGGTACTTCCAGCCACTAGCCAAGAAAGGGACCTTATTTCCCAGACTATGTGCTACATCTGTAATCAGCATGTCAGATAAGATCGATACTCAAAGTTCTCAATGAATTCGAAGTGTTTGAATTTTGTCGCTTGAGTAGTACTTTTGTGCTTTCTTGAAAGATAGAAACAAGAACTCAGTTTCTAATTGTATCCAAAAGTATCTATGTTGTATACGATACACATGACTATTAAAACTACGCTTTTTCCCATTGAATTTGAAGCAGAGGAAAGTTGCGACGTCGCACGCGTCGTTCGCGTTGCCGCACTTCGTTGCAACTGCTGTTCGATTTGTCCTGATATCTCCTAAATAAATATCGGCGGCACAGCTCTACAAAGTTATTTGAAAAGTAGAAGATTAGGCCTTTGACAGGATAACCTTGGACAAAAAAATCCTGTAAACGTAGAAAAAATCATTCAAAGGTGCGTGCTGCACTATGTGCAGCACCGGTCCGAAACGTGTTAACATTGTTTTTTACCCTTGAAACGGCATCCAGCCTCCCATGTGCCACCTGTGCTAAGCCCTTATCCAAAAGATTGGCGAGAAGTTCCAACAATTAACAAAATGCCTTCATTAACCCAAAATTGCCTTTTAGGGTTGTATATCCAGGTATTCAATTTTTCATTGCTCGAACGAACATAGTCGATACTTCTGAGAAGCTGGTATTTTTACACTCATCATGTTTACTTCTATTAGCCGCTGCAGAGGAGTAGGCGAATATTAGAAAATATGCTAACGGACGCGATGCAAGGCTCAAGCCAGGCGCCTTTAAGAAACTGAGTCGCAGCAACTGCGGTATTGAGCCCGCATGTACATAGTTTGTCCAAATGAGTGCACAAGTTTACTTCTTTATTTGCATACAAGACAAATGCAGCCATGCATACATACAAGCTTTTGACTTTGCTTTTTTCCTCCGCTTTAATGTAGAGAAAAAAGAGGAGTAAAATTTCATGGTTTAGATATGGCTTTATATTAGGTCGTTCAAGAAGTATTTTTGCTTATTTTAAACGGACGCTTCCCGCGGATAAAGCTTTTTGGAAGCCTTTGGTTGCCATGGAAAAGTTCCATTGATTTTCTAAGCTTTCCTAGCGATTTCTCTATGAAGTCCAAGTACCGCTCATATAACACGCTATTTAGTTTAAGATCAGTTTTTCATAGATTCTACGGGGACTGCCTCCCTGCCACGTGTCAGGAAAAAATTTACACGTTTTGGTCCAGTCACATGTTCTTTTCTAGATCATTTCCTTAAGTTAAAAGACCATTTGTGATCATCCAAAAGTTTAACTGTTTTTCATAAAAGCAAAGCAATATAGAGCTTAAAATAGAACATTTATTGCTCTCAGCGATGTCAAAAATGTCTTTCTCTTCAAAAACCCTGTCCCCATGCGAATCTAGCAGAAAAATTATAGATGATTGCTTGAAGTACCTCGCTACTGCTAGTTTCGCCGCTTAGATAATGACGATCTAGTACAGTTTTCTGCTCTGGGCATGTCTAATCTGTTCATTGATAACAGCATAACGTTATCATTGTTCAATCGAAAATGGGGTCATCACTGACCAAAAACAGAAGCCACAAAGCCAAATCAAGTCGAGGTGAGCTCAATCACCTATTGTGGAATCTTTAAGGTTTATGCTAGCGACTCATATAAAAATAAAGCGTAAAAGCTTCTTCGATGATAAAGTTAATAGGGTCAGACGCAACCTTTCAAAAAGTCAGGCTGTCTGAGCTTTTAAAGGCAGTGTTCGGGTAAAAACTCGATTTTGAAATTTTGTGCATACCCGGGCCTATTCGCCATGCTGACTTCGAAAATCCACATTGGAAAACGCGAAACCGGCGAAAAGGGCTCTAACGCAGGAGGGAAATCAGAAGTGGGCGGGGTCTTCCCCACTGAGAATTTCGCGGCCCCATCTTCTGAAGCGATTTTCTCAATTCCGCTACCGCTCTGAGGTCTCCACAGGCCAGTGCAAATGCATAACTTAAAATCGGGACCGAGAAGATCGCTCCGGAAGCTTGGAGCGTGAATCCGCAGTAGGGAAAACCCCGCCCACTTGTGATTTCCCTCCTGCGTTAAAGCCCCTTTTCGCCATTTTCGCGCCTTCTAATGTGGATTTTTGGATTCAGCATAGTGAATAGGCCGGGGTAAGCACAAAATCTTAAAATCGAGTTTTTGTCCAGACATTGCCTTCAAGGGGTTGCGCCTGACCCTCTTTGTAAAAAAAGAAGATAAGAATTGGTTTAGTCCCCTTCCCCTTATGCGAACGAACATCGAGAAACGAGACAGAGTTTATCGGAAAAACAACACAAAAAATAAAAGATTAACACGTGGGCAAAAACGATGATTTGCCTCCACTCAAGTGAACAAGGAAAGTGATGCAACACTTGCACTTAGGCCGGCCAGAGCAGGGAACGCGGCAGACAACAACGTTCAAAACAACACGAAACAATATAAATGGATCAAAAGAACTATCGCACACATGTTATCATCCTCTATTTTTTCTCATCTTTACACGCCGCTCCTAGAAGAGAGTTACCTCCGGAGACTCGTCGATAGTCCTGTCCTTGTTCCGCGAGTGGGGCTTGCACCAGGCGTCTTCCTCGAGTCCCGAATATGCGTAAATTCCGGCTTCGGCAATCTTTTTCTGTTCACGCCTTCGTCGTTTCCTTGATCGGCGCCCACCTGTTCCGTAGCTCGAATGTCGGCAAGTTCGATGCAGCTCCTCTAATTCCAGGGTGCGTTGCGGGATATAGCTTCGTAATCGCGTCTTCCATTGGTCCATGGTGATCCATCTCCTTGGCGTCTCCTGCTAGCACCATGTTGGCACGCTCCTCGCAAACACCGCATTCGCAAGGACGGAGACAAGGTAACAAATCCATCGGTTCTCCAACCTCGACTCTGCAACACGAAACGTGTTGAAAAGTTGTTAAAAAGTCTACCCCTTTTTGCTTTGATCTTAGTTGCCCTTACAGGCTTATTGTCAATATTATGGGGCTTACTTAGCTGATCCGGAACGCGCTTAGGCTTATCATTCGCCTTTATTTTGATCGAAGAGCCACTAATGTCACTTAAATCGCTTACTCCAGATGGTCCTTCTGGTAGTTAGCCAATTTGTAGCGTTTTGATGGAGCTTTCTCCGTAGACACCTCCATATCCACCCGGTCGCCTGGGCTGGTAGTAATCCCCCCGACCTGGCGGCAGGTCTCGTCGGCAGGTCGCTGGCACCTTTTCCGTGAGGTGGCCAGAAAGTGAGACCCCAAATTTAGGCCGTCCCAGGCCTTATTCCAAAAAATTTTCTCCATAAAGATGACGCCTCGACTCTGTAGAAAATTCCATAAAAGTCTGCGGTTCCAGAACTCCTCCTTTGGTAAAATATCTGGAAGCGCAGGAGGAGCTGCCGGCAACTTCGCGATGTCAGTTGCCGGCAACCTGCCGGCAGCTCGTCGAAATCCGCGAGATGGCAGCTGCCGGCAGGTCAGAGAGCACGGGAAATAGCGTGCTCTTTTGAGAGAGGGAGTTGCCGGCATCTCGACGTGCCCCTACCACGTCGAGGTGGTGGCACCTTTGCCGACGGCGTCTGTGAGATTGCGAATTGCGGCGATATCACACAATTTACGTCAGGCGAAAAAATCAAAAATTCTACCTTTCATCAAAAAACTATCATTTTTCTCACTACATGAGTTTTTCTTTTTTAAAACGACGATTTTCTTACAGAGATAAAATCTAGTAATGCCTTAGAACCATAAGGAACACCATCTTTTTTTGCAATCCTTTCTAAATCTTATTTGCACCGATTTCGCCCCTCTCTCGCTCATATCAATCAGCTGTTCTTCCAGATCAAAGTCTCTCGCGCAATGTATCGATCCTTCTTACAGGCGGAGGTGTACGGTATATATGCAGAACGATATAAGTTCTAATACCAACGGTAACGACAGATGCCACGCGGGCTAACTCGATTCGATGCGTACCTCAACTCAAACTTGGGTAATTAAACCGTTTACTAGAGGTAAATAAACAATAAACATTTAACGCAAAATGTATCTAAAACTACATAACAATAGATGATGAGATGCCGAAATAATGACACAAAGGCATGAGGATTACACAAAGTATAAATGCGATAAAAGTGAATTATTGAAATCGTCATTTTTCTTCGAAATACTTGAGTTTGAAATTGTTTTAGATTTTCTGGTTTTCTTGCAAAATCCAAATGCAAAATAGAGAACTAAATGCAAACTGCATAGAGAACTAAATGCAAAACAGAGCGATGAGAATCATGTGTTAAGCTACAACATTGAGAGGATAGTTTTCATAATCAAGACGATCAAACCAAGGGATAAAGCAAGTGATGAAGCAAGTGATAAAACAAGTGATAACCCAAGTGCGCGGAGCGCATCCGAATGACACCAAGTGAAGCTTTTCATGGTCGGAGTCGTCGTTGCCATCTGGCGCAGCTGCCGCCCTGAGTCACTCGGTCGCGCTGTTTTTAATAGCCTGAAGTAAAGTTTGCAAGGATGGGAGTACTGTATCTTGCAAACCTCGAATATTTAATTGTTTTTTCTTGTTGTCGCTTGGCGACACTGCCGCCCGTTTTATTGATGTTCCGGGCGTCTCGCTGGAGACAGTCTTGCCTGTAACTGCAAAATTTCTTGTTCGAAGATATGGTACCTTTCTCGGGCCTCCCACACACGGAGTCGGAGAATTCCTTCGGCGTTCGGGACTGTGCATAAAGCCTTGTGATGCCCCCTATCGTTGGGCCGAAACTCCTCCGCGGGGGTACCCCGTACCCACTCACAGTAAAAACATCTTCTTATTGGGAAGCGGCACCGTTCCCTGGGGCAGCGCATGAGGCATTTATGGCAGAGGCCGGCCCGTCGCGTGATGCTGAACCTTTCTTCTCCGTCTGTTACTATCGGACAGGAGTCCGAAAAGTGCCTGTTTACTTGATTACAGAACACGCACTCGACTCATACAATACCGCTCACAGAATGTGCAAAATTTCCGTGAATGTCGCAGAATTCCGGGAATGTCGCGAAATTAGTACTCTGCGTTGATACCACTGCTT